TGTTTTACAGATTGAAAATATACTCATGTCCAAAAGAAACGATACCAAATATTTTTTTTCAATATCTTTAAATTAATGATACCTTTTGGAGAAAAAACATATGTCTGTGTGTCCCACGTTCCTAACCAAACGTATTCGATCGAAAAAACCGGTAACATTTATTCACTTAAGAAGCAATCGCACGAATACTCAAAATGACGTTAAGTCGTGTAGCACGAAATGCACGTGCAGATGAACTGTATAAAACCGCTGGTCCACCACGTTGTGCCGACAGCAGTAAAAAGCACACAAAAGAAATGGCACGTTTGACAGCGATCGAGAGAGAAAGAGCCGTTGGAATGGTCCGACAGGGAGCATCACACGCCTGCTATAGCAAGAACGTTTGGATGCGCGCGCATAACCGTTACCAGGTTGATACGACGGTTGCGTCAAACAGGCCGAACAACAGACAGGCCGAGAAGCGGGAGACCCCGGGTGACCACGCCTATTCAAGACAACCACATCCGGTTACTTCACCTACGTAACCGCTTCGTTCCTGCGACGTTAACGGCGGCGACGGGACTTGGGACACCGGATCAGTTGACAAACCGTCTACAGGAGACTGCAGGCACATGGTATCCGTGCACGTCACCCCTACCGCGGAGTCTACCTGACACGTCAAAACAGAGTCAACCGATTGATATGGGCCAGGCGTGTTCGGCGGTGACAACGTCGAAACTGGGCGCGTGTCTTGTTTTCGGACGAAAGCCGGTTTTGCCTTTACAAGAACGATGGTCGGCAGCGAGTATACCGAAGAATTCGTGAACGTTTGGCTCCGAACTGCATCCATCAAGTCCATGCATTTGGAGTCGAAGGTGTAATGGTGTGGGGAGGTATCTGCGGTGATTTGAAAACGAGGTTCGTCATTATTCGGGGGAACCTGAATGCACAGCGTTACCAGGGTGAGGTTTTACGACCAGTCGTTCAGTCATTCGCCAAACAGCATCCAGGAGGAATCGTGTTCCAGCACGACAACGTTAGGCCTCATACGGCAAGATTGACCCAGAACTTCCTTGCCAACATACAGGTTTTGCCATGGCCAGCGTGTTCACCGGATTTGCATCCCATTGAGCACATATGGAATCACCTCAATCGGAAAATCAGAAAACGCCCTGCGCCCCCAGCGCAACCTCCAACAATTGGAACATTGTCTCCAGGATGAGTGGCAGCGAATCACCCCTAACGTCATTCGACGTTTGACGTCATCAGTTCGGAGGCGTGTCATGGCATGTATCGCAGCTGCTGGTGGACATATCCGGTACTAAAGTGGCCTTAAGACTGTTTTCAGAGACTACCCTCACTTGCCTCCCCCACTATGCTAAAATGAAATTTCAATTTTTGTGCACCACACTTCGTTTAAAGCCCTGTGTTAATGATTGTAAATCTTTGATTTTGATGACTATTTGTACACATGCCGTAAGTTCATTTATCTAATGAAAGATATCAATTTGATGTTGTCTATGTTGTTTTGTTTTAATTTAGTGATCTTTGAAACACGTGGTATCGTTTCTTTTGGACACTAGTTTAGTATGTAGCAGAGAGGGTTTTTTTTATCCTGGCACAGTCAGACTCGTAAGGTTCATCATCAGCTCAGGGCCCTTGCCCATTCTACATGCAGCCCAGACAGCGAATGGGACTTCTCCCAGGAAACGCTGCCTAGTCGAACCCACCAAGAACTTTCTGGAGAATATGTAGACTCCCCGCTCCCGGTTAAGAACCCGGGCATTCTCCTGATCTGCGCCAAAAGATCAGGAGGTCAGTATTCAATTCAAAATTTTGACCTTAATTCCTGCTACCATGATCAAATTTATTTTGCCATTTTATACCTACATCATTGGTTTGTAAGGACATGTGAAAAAAGTTTTAAAATAATGCAATTGTATTTGTCAATATTTTTATAGAACGTTTTCGGTTGAAATCCCGTTTTGGGGGCATTTTTTACGCTGGTCAGTTCTTTAAAAACAATTCAAAGTATGATTTTGAAATGTTAGAACATTGGCAATAATTTTAAGATCAATATTGTCCAAAAGCATTAATTTATCTTCACGCATAAAAAAGTTCCGAAACCTTTTATGACATGTTCCCATATGGGAACATTGGCATGACAAAGGTTAATAGCGCAACTAATCGCTTATCATTTGCCATTAAATGCAGTCGTAGGGGGTGCAAAAGTCAGAAAAACATCTCTATTTGAGGTTCTGCACGGAGTTTGACGTGCCACGCCTGGGGAAAAACGACAGATGGAGAGCTATAAATATGCTTTTACCTCGTTGATACAACGTGCACCGTTTGGCATTTTTGCGACGTTTTCAGAAAAAGTATCAAGTTATGGACCGTTCTCGCAGTGACCGCCTACAAGTAACGACCGATTGATTCGAACCATTCACCTCCGACATAGGTTCCAACCAGCAAACCTTACAGCCCGTACTATACCTGGCAACAGAAGTGTATCTAAGCCTTTATGGCATTCGTGAAAGACGCCCATCGAAAAGTCCTGGCCAATAGCCCCATCCCATCGGCCAATAGACCGACCAAGTCCTGGCCAATAGACCCATCCCATCGGCCACTAGACCGACCAAGTCCTGGCCAATAGACCCATCCCATCGGCCACTAGACCGACCAAGTCCTGGCCAATAGACCCATCCCATCGGCCACTAGACCGACCAAGTCCTGGCCAATAGACCCATCCCATCGGCCACTAGACCGACCAAGTCCTGGCCAATAGACCCATCCCATCGGCCACTAGACCGACCAGTCCTGGCCAATAGACCCCATCCATCGGCCAGTAGACCGACCAAGTCCTGGCCAATGGACCCATCCCATCAACCGAGTAATAGACTCCCAGTAGACCCCAAGTCCTGGCCAATCAGGCCAGTAGACCGACCAAGTCCTGGCCAATAGATCATCCATCGGCCAGTAGACCGACCAAGTCCTGGCCAATAGACCCCATCCCATCGGCCAGTAGACTGACCAAATCCTGGACCCATCCCATCGGCCAGTAGACCGACCAAATCCCAATAGACCCATCCATCGGCCACTAGACCGACCAAGTCCTGGCCAATAGAGTCCATCCATCGGCCAGTAGACCGACCAAGTCCTGGCCAATAGACCCATCCATCGGCCACTAGTAGTAGACCCATCCCATCGGCCAGTAGACCGACCAAGTCCTGGCCAATAGACCCATCCCATCGGCCAGTAGACCGACCAAGTCCTGGCCAATAGACCCATCCCATCGGCCAGTAGACCGACCAAGTCCTGGCCAATAGACCCATCCCATCGGCCAGTAGACCGACCAAGTCCTGGCCAATAGACCCATCCCATCGGCCAGTAGACCGACCAAATCCTGGCCAATAGACCCATCCCATCGGCCAGTAGACCGACCAAGTCCTGGCCAATAGACCCATCCCATCGGCCAGTAGACCGACCAAATCCTGGCCAATAGACCCATCCATCGGCCAGTAGACCGACCAAATCCTGGCCAATAGACCCATCCCATCGGCCAGTAGACCGACCAGACCGACCAAATCCTCCTGGTCAATAAGCCCCGTCCACATGCTCTCGTCATCTTTTTTAACGTTAGGGTTGGACAACCACTGCCTTTTCGTAATGGCGTCACAGCCAGCAAAATGAGATGAATTTTGCTCTTGAATTTTGCTACCCATCGTTTATCAAAATATCTAAAGAGGAAAATAATGCACGTTTTGATTTCGAACGAATAGTTGTCAGACTGTACGTGGCTGAGAAATGTGTCTGTATATGGCAAATGAAAATCGAGCTATATATATAAATCGTATTGATCAGTTGCTGAGCGCATATTTCTCCCACCACTTTGGTAGACAGGATACAGTTCAGTAGAGAAATATTACTCATACCAGAACACGGTAGGGTAACTGAGATATAAATAATTGTCAACGGTCACAATACTTAACACGTTTGTTTATACTTTGTAAACCAAAATGTAATCTTTAAACATGAGTACCTATCTTACTTAATTTAAATAAAAGAATCGTAAGTAAGAACGCAGAAAGTCACCTCTCTGCTGCCTTCTGAGTCCCATTCCTTGTTTTTGGTCTGTTTATTCTAACATAAACAAATCAGTCAAACCATATGCCTTAGTACTGGGCTTGTACACACCATGTCACCTGCTCTGAAGATAATATTAACCCCCGGATCTGCACCAACTGTCAGTGAAATTTCCCTCTTCAAAAGTCTTGACCTTTGCATACCATTCTAAAATCCTAAAATAACACCGAATTTAGGAATTTATAAGTTAACAAATTTCCATTTCTGAGCAAATGGTTCATTAGCAATGGTTTGGCAGCGGTACTTAAATTGGTATCCAAATATAGATACAAATCCCTGGTCCCACTATCAAAACAATGACTTTATCAACTGGCGGTATTTAGATACAGGTATGTCACAAATTAAGGTGGAAAATATTGTGAGGATCCAAAAGTCAGTCAGCACTTGTAGTCGGACCCATCTCCCAGAAAAAGGAAACCTATGATGACAAAATTATATGAACGGAGAGTTTGTAGTTTTCCGACCAAATAACTGGCACTAAATAAAATACAACACAAGTTATATCCTTATTATTTGTTCAAAAGACTTGTCTTGAATCTAAGATGTTTCACTGTTAACTACTGATGTATTTTAGTATATCTCCTAAGTTCAAAGTATTTATCAATACAATTACACATTTACCTAATTATTGCTTCTTAATCAATAATAGTCTTTGTTTTATTGCATCAGCGTCTGTATACCACATAACACCAATTAAGATTTTGTTTTGTCATGTTTTTAAAAACCGACACCACAGTGAAGTGCTAAGAATTACTCCCACATGAAATAGCAGGTGTCTAGATGCGAATTCTTAGAAGCTATACTAGTACTATTCATTAAATATTTAAAACAGATTCCAGGTAAGCTCCATAACTGCCGCTAAATAATGATATAAAGACATGAACACAGCAGATACACAGGTGGGTTTATTTTCTAAACGCTGCACCAAATACTGTGCAAGTAAATTTGAAGCTCATTTTCAAAGTAGTCCTCACAAAATCTTAAACAGTATGTTCAGGACGAACATCCTTAATAAGCTAATGATCTCTAAACTGACTGACTGAGTTTGGTTTTACGTCGCTTTTAGCAATATTTCAGCAACATCACGGCGGGGGGCACCAGAGATGGGCTTAACACATTGTACCCATGCGGGGATTCGAACCCGGGTCTTCGGCGTGACGAGCCAACGCTTTAACCATTAGGCTACCCCACCGCCCCTATTGATCTCTAAAAAGAATTACATCACATAAGGGCTTTATGCATTTCAATGTTCATCCCAGTAATATATCAAAACAACTAAGAAATATTTATATTCTTCTGTTACAGAACAGAACAGTGTCTGACGAGTTTGTGACAAAAGTTGGCCTTTTTCACAAATTGTCTGTATGTTGAAATATGTTTTACATGTCATTAAAAACAAATCAGCAAGATAAAAAAATTAAGCGAATGCCAAGTGAATAATGTACAATGAATAATTTAGTGTTTATGTGCTGTGTCCTATCTTTAAATCACATTTATCTGGCACCTCCTCCATTTAAACTAGGAATAATCAATAATAACTTGAATAGATTATAATTTATGTCATTACATTTCCACGTTTCCCTGATGGTCTTGTTGGTCGTAATAGCGGGATGGTCTTGTAAGTACCGTCAATTGTTACCGTAAACGTTTGGCAGTCATGCACAAAACCACTTGCTTTACAGTATACCGTAGTTATTCATACCGTACCAAATACGGTGAAATTCTGGTAGCCGGTAGAATTCCTGTTCATATAAAACGAGGTAACCATTTTAACAAGTTCAAATAACAATTTTGGTGCTACAGCATTTTAAAGTTGAGCAATGACATGGTTCCTATAACTACTGTAGTACAACAGCCACATTGTTAACTGGTTCAAGATACATGTCAGTCAGCCTGTAGTCATTTGTATGTCCGTTACTTGCTTAAGAGCACTATATCACACCACACTTCTCTAAAATATAGAATGTTTTTCTCTCAAAAATACAAACTATCAGCCTTCGGGGAAGTCACCATATAATTTATTCTAAAAACAAATTACGTATTTAGATAACAAGATTAAATTAAAAGTTCGAATGAATTAATGCAACGTTGCATTAAATCAACTCTCGCGCCCTCTACCGGCCGAACATTATTTGAAAATGGACAAACAATGGAATCTCTTCTGTTTAAATGGACAAACAATGGGATCCATTCTGTTTAAATGGACAAACAATGGTATCCATTCTGTTTAACTGGACAAACAATGGGATCCTTTCTGTTTAAATGGACAAACAATGGTATCTCTTCTGTTTAAATGGATCCATTCTGTTTACATGGACAAACAATGGGATCCATTCTGTTTAAATGGACAAACAATGGTATCCATTCTGTTTAACTGGACAAACAATGGGATCCATTCTGTTTAAATGGACAAACAATGGGATCCATTCTGTTTAAATGGACAAACAATGGGATCCATTCTGTTTAAATGGACAAACAATGGGATCCATTCTGTTTAAATGGACAAACAATGGGATCCATTCTGTTTACATGGATGACAAACAATGGGATCCCTCTGTTTTAAATGGACAAACAATGGGATCCATTCTGTTTAAAATGGACAAACAATGGGATCCATTCTGTTTAAATGGACAAACAATGGGATCCATTCTGTTTAAATAGACAAACAATGGGATCCTTTCTGTTTAAATGGACAATGGGACCTTTTCTGTTTAAATGGACAAACAATGGGATCCTTTGTGTTTAAATGGACAGATAATGGGATCCATTCTGTTTAAATGGACAAACAATGGGATCCATTCTGTTTAAAACCTGGACAAACAATGGGATCCATTCTGTTTAACTGGACAAACAATGGGATCCCTTCTGTTTAAATGGACAAACAATGGGATCCATTCTGTTTAAATGGACAAACAATGGGATCCATTCTGTTTAAATGGACAAACAATGGGATCCTTTCTGTTTAAATGGACAATGGGATCTCTTCTGTTTAAATGGACAAACAATGGTATCCTTTCTGTTTAAATGGACAGATAATGGGATCCATTCTGTTTAAATGGACAAACAATGGGATCCATTCTGTTTAAATCCTGTCGCCAATGGACAATGGGATCTCTTCTGTTTAAATGGACAAACAATGGTATCCTTTCTGTTTAAACAAACCATTCTGTTTAAATGAGAATTTCCATTCTTTTTAAATCCTGTCGCAAGAATCATCAAACAGAAGAGAATTTACTTTGGCAAGAATGTTTGCCTGCACACAAGATGTACATTCATCATCTGTGACTTACCATTGATTGCTCCCGACTGACCTCTGTTTACGTTATGTCCATGATCACGTAATACGCTATGTGTGAAATGTTCTTACACAAAGCTCTTGACAGCTATTTGGCATGTTTCCGAGTAAACGATAATGACATACTGCCGTAAAATACAGGTCTTGAAATTACATTCTGTTCAAAGATAATTCATTCCATTTGTCAGAACAAAAATATAGAAGCAAACAAAAGAATGCTTTAACAGCAAAGACGTGAACGCATTATCTGCATGCTATAGACACCGTATGTGTACAAATTAGCAACAAATGAGCTTACTCGGGATAAAATCGTCTCCGTGTAATCAAGCCCAACGCAAAATGGCGGCGACATGAGTGACAATATCCCACAATGCTTTGGCGTCACACGGTAGTCGTAATGCAGTAAAACGCCATATATTATTGACGTTAACGGCATTGCGTCGTGTCATAACTGATCGCTACCGTTGCATACGTGATGATACCGTATATTATACGTCAAAGTTTTAAAGTGTGACCGCCCCTGTCATCTAGTGGATAAAGCATCTGCCCAAGGACTGGAAGGTTACTGGTTCCTTATTCTGACTGCATGATGCCTTAAGACTGAAAGAGATCATGGTATTTATTATTACCTTGACTGGTGGTCGTCATGGGAGGGAGAAAACAAGGACTGGCTGTCTAAGAGTTTTGTGTCTGAATGGGGTGACTAGGTTGACTGGGACACGGTGTCTCTGTGGACTAGCACTGTAGAATCGATGTAAATCTCAACCACTGACACACATGCATGCACATCGCTATTAAAATGGGAAAGCCTTGAAGGCCACGTTAAACCCCATTTCACCACCTCATCCTGCTCAACCACTGACACACCAGACATCATATGAAGAATACGTTTTCATTGAAGTGAATAAACATGCATACCTGTGTGGTGTACTTGTCCATCTGACTATTTAAACCCTGGGTAACCTTCCTTGTCCTTGATAGAACATAACGAGACACACATGTCAGTCCCACAGACGTCCTGAACAATTGAATGAATGCGAATATCCCAAATGCACATGTACAACATCAGAAAGGTTTTAGACGAGTTTACTGTAATGAACACTACTGTTCATGTTACGCCAACGTGTAACTGTTTTATGGAATTGTAACGACCTGGACTCCTCTGATCTGTTTTCAGATCGTGGACGACCTGAACTGGGCGGAGCGCTGGAACCCCAAGCTACTTATACAGAATGTGGCCAGCGATCAGAAACAGAACGTGTGGTTTGACGTGCAGTTCAGCGAGGGGCAGGCCTTTGTCCTGGAGAAGAGGCGCCTCAAGGGCTGGTTCACAGAAAACCTGGAGCTAGAGGCCTTCCCGTTTGATATTCAGGTACGGTCCATAGCAGCAAGAAGTACCGAAGGTAGTTCTGGAGAATTCAGTTGACAATTTCTCTTACTCGTAGGACCTTTCTATCTGGAAACATTATATTTCTTCATTTTATTTCAAACAACTGTTAAAATGTGTTCCTTTCACTCCCAATCTTAACACAGGCTTATGACAGTCGTAGCCCTTAGGTATGGTGGCTGATTAGGGCCACCGCTTTCTCGCCAAATTTTAAGGCGAGAAAGCGATGGCCCTAATCAGCCACCATACTTAGGTGACCGTAGCTCCCCTACCTTGACATATACTTACTACAGTCGTAGAACTAAGGTAGCCATGATCCCACTCCAGACGTAGGGGACACAAGAAATAGGCTTCACACATGGTACCCATGTGGGGAATCGAACCCGGGTCTTCGGCGTGACACTTTTACCACTAGGCTACCCCACCGCCCCTGAAAACTGATGAGTGTTGTATATGACATCTATTATTTACACATATGCGTCATGTTTGCTATTGTTATTGTTCCAGCATTTGTCCCTCGTGATAACCTCTGACCTGTCAAGCAAGGAGGTCACCCTTGTAGAAGATGACCTTGAACTTAGCAGCGTCAATCGACTGAGTTTCATTGATGAACAGGAATGGGAGATGAGAAACTTCGTGGAGTTACTGCCTCAGGTGACGAGGCGGGAATACAGCAGCTCCAAACATGAGTTCCCCTCCATCTTGGTGAGGTGCTGTGCCTTCAGACGGCCAGGGTTCTTCATCTGGAACATCCTGTGCGTCATGGTATGTGAAGTTGCTACTTGTCTAAACTGTATATACTTTTTTCGTATCGTATCGTTTCTTTATAAGTTCGGTGTATAAATGCCAGTTTCGAAGTAGTGATTTCTGCACGAGGCCACAAGAACGGCGTCTGTGTCTTCGGGCATGTCAGTGTATCAAATATATTGCTACTACGTTTACACTGTTCCAGCTTTTCACGAGAAGGGCAAGAACACATTTCAGTTTCACACAGTAAAATAATTACGGCTAACTCATTTCATAAAAATTCTTCATTAGTGTCCTGTAAGTGTTAACTTAAACAGTTGTTAACTGAAGAGACCAAACAACAATGGACTTACATCAAAATGTTAAATTTTGCTCAGACTAAGGAGAGCCTGTGGCTGCTGCTAACTTGTATGTTTGTAGGTTGTTCAAAATATTTCAGCTTTATCATGGCAGCTTGTGATATTCGCGATGACGGGCTGTGAGCCCTGTTTCAGTCACAGACCTGCACCACTTCACCTTTGTTTAGTCACATACCTGCACCACTTCGCCCTGTTTTAGTCACAGGCCCGTTCCACTTCACCCCGTTTTAGTCACAGACCCGCACCACTTAACCCTGGTTTAGTCACAGACCTGCACCACTTAATCCTGTTTTAGTCACAGACCCGCACCACTTAACCCTGTTTTAGTCACAGACCCGCACCACTTAAACCTGTTTTAGTCACAGACCCGCACCACTTAATCCCGTTTTAGTCACAGACCCGCACCACTTTACCTTGGTTTAGTCACAGACCCGCACCACTTAACCCTGTTTTCACAGACCCGCTCCACTTTATCTTTTTTTAGTCCAGACCAGCTCCACTTTACCTTGTTTTAGTCACAGACCAGCACCTCTTTATCCGTGTGTTAGTCACAGACCAGCACCACTTAACCCCGTTTTAATCACAGACCCGCACCACTTTACTCCCTTTTAGACACAGACCCGCACCACTTAACCCTGTTTCAGTCACAGATCTGAACCACTTTACCCTGTTTTAGTCACAGACCCGCACCACTTTATCCTGCTTTACTCACACACCTGCACCACTTGAACCCGTTTTAGTCACAGACCCGTACCACTTAACCTTGTTTTAGTCACAGACCCGCTCCACTTTACCCTGTTTTAGTCACAGACCCGCTCCACTTTACCTTGTTTTAGTCACAGTCCCGCACCACTTAACCCCGTTTTAATCACAGACCAGCTCCAATTTACCTTTTTTAGTCACAGACCCGCTCCACTTTACTTTCTTTAGTCAAAGACCCGCACCACTTTACCCTGTGTTAGTCACAGACCCGCACCACTTAACCCCTTTTTAGTCACAGACCTGCGCCACTTAACCCCGTTTTAGTCACAGGCCCGCACCACTTTAATCTATTTGAGTGACAGACCCGCACCCCTTTACTCTGTTTTAGTCACAGACCCGTACCACTTAACCCTGTTTCAGTCACAGATCTGAACCACTTTACCCTGTTTTAGTCACAGACCCGCACCACATTACCCTGCTTCACTCACACACCTGCACCACTTGAACCCGTTTCAGTCACAGACCTGCGCCACTTAACCCCGTTTTAGTCACAGACCCGCACCACTTTAATCTGTTTTAGTGACAGACCCGCACCACTTTACTCCCTTTTAGACACAGACCCGTACCACTTAACCCTGTTTCAGTCACAGATCTGAACCACTTTACCCTGTTTTAGTCACAGACCCGCACCACTTTACCCTGCTTTACTCACACACCTGCACCACTTGAACCCTTTGTTAGTCACAGACCCGCACCACTTAACCTTCTTTTAGTCACAGACCCGCTTCACTTTACCATTTTTTAGTCACAGACCAGCACAAATTTACCCTGTTTTAGTCACAGACCCGCGCCCCTTAACCCCTTTTTAATCACAGACCCGCACCACTTAACTCTGTTTTAGTCACAGACCTGGGCCACTTCACACCTTTTTTTAGTCACAGACCCGCAATTCTTTACCCTGTTTTAATCAAAGACTAGCACCACTTAGCCCGTTTCAGTCACAGACCCGCACCACTTTACATGCTTTACTCACACACCTGCACCACCTGAACCCTGTTTTAGTCACAGACCCGCACCACTTAACCTTCTTTTACTCACAGACCCGCTTCACTATACCATTTTTTAGTCACAGACCAGCACAAATTTACCCTGTTTTAGTCACGGACCCGCGCCCCTTAACCCCGTTTTAATCACAGACCCGCACCACTTAACTCTGTTTTAGTCACAGACCTGGGCCACTTCACACCTTTTTTTAGTCTTAGATCCGCAATTCTTTACCCTGTTTTAGTCAAAGACTAGCGCCACTGAACCCTGTTTTAGTCACAGACCCGCACCACTGAAACACTATTTTAGACACAGTCCCGCACCACTTAACCTTGTTTTAGTCACAGACCTGCGCCACTTAACCCCTTTTTTTAGTCACGGACCCGCACTAATTTACACTGTTTTAGTCAAAGACCCGCACCACTGAACCCTGTTTTAGTCACAGACCCGCACCACTGAAACCTGTTTTAGACACACACCCGCACCAATTAACCCTGTTTTAGTCACAGACCCGCACCACTTAACCCTGTTTTAGTCACAGACCAGAACCACTTAATCCTGCTTTAGTCACAGACCTGCTCCACTTAACCCCTTTTTTTAGTCACAGACCCGCACTAATTTAGGCTGTTTTAGTCAAAGACCCGCACCATTTAACCCTGTTTTAGTCACAGACCCGCAATTCTTTACCCTCTTTTAGTCAAAGACTAGCACCACTTAGCCCGTTTTAGTCACAGACCCGCTCCACTTAACCCTGCTTTAGTGACAGACCCGCACCACTTAAACGTTTTAGTCACAGACCCGCGCCACTGAACCCTGTTTTAGTCACAGACCCGTACCACTTAACCCTGTTTTAGTCACAGACCCGAACCACTTAACCCTGTTTTAGTCACAGACCTGCACCACTTAACCCTGTTTTAGTCACAGACCTGCACCACTTAACCCCTTTTTTAGTCACAGACCTGCACCACTTTATCCTGTTTTAGTCACAGACCCGCACCACTTTACCCTGTTTTAGTCACAGACCGGCACCTCTTTACCCTGTGTCTTAGTCACAGGTTTAGTCGCGCCACTTTTACCCTGTTTTAGTCCACAGACCCGCACCACTTTAACCCTGTTTTAGTCACAGACCCGCACCACTTAACCCCTGTTTTAGTCACAGACCCGCACCACTTTACCCTGTTTTAGTCACAGACCCGCACCACTTTACTCTGTTTTAGTCACAGACCCGCACCACTTAACCCTGTTTTAGTCACAGACCTGCACCACTTTAACCCCTGTTTTATTCACACACCCGCACCACTTAACCCTGTTTTTAGTCACAGACCTGGACCACTTCACACCTTTTTAAGTCACAGACCCGCACCTTTAACCCTGTTTTAGTCAAAGACCTGCGCACCACTTAGCCCTGTTTTTGTCACAGACCTGCGCCACTTTACCCTGTTTTAGTCACAGACCCGCACCACTTAACCCTGTTTTAGTCACAGACCTGCACCACTTAACCCTGTTTTAGTCACAGACCTGCGCCACTTAACCCCTTGTTTTAGTCACAGACCCACCACTTAACCCTGTTTTAGTCACAGACCTGCGCCACTTAACCCTGTTTTAGTCACAGACCCGCACCACTTAACCCTGTTTTAGTCACAGACCCGCACCACTTAAACGTTTTAGTCACAGACCCGCACCACTGAACCCTGTTTTAGTCACAGACCCGCACCACTTAACCCTGTTTTAGTCACAGACCTGCGCCACTTAACTCCTTTTTTAGACACAGACCCGCACTAATTTACGCTGTTTTTTTCAAAGACCCGCACCATTTAACCCTGTTTTAGTGACAGACCCGCACCACTTAGCCCTGTTTTAGTCACAGACCTGCACCACTTAACCCTGTTTTAGTCACAGACCCGCACCACTTAACCCTGTTTTAGTCACAGACCCGCACCACTTTACCCTGTTTTAGTCACAGACCCGCACCACTTTACCCTGTTTTAGTCACAGACCCGCACCACTTAACCCTGTTTTAGTCACAGATCTGAACCACTTTACCCCGTTTTATTCACACACCTGTTTTAGTCACAGACCTGGACCACTTCACACCTTTTTTAAGTCACAAACCCGCAATTCTTTACCCTGTTTTAGTCAAAGACTAGCACCACTTAGCCCTGTTTTAGTCACAGACCCGCACCACTTAACCCTGTTTTAGTCACAGACCCGCACCACTTTAAACCCCTGTTTTAGTCACAGACCTGCGCCACTTAACCCTGTTTTAGTCACAGACCCGCACCACTTTTACCTGTTTTTAGTCACAGACCCGCACCACTTAACCCTGTTTTAGTCACAGACCCGCACCACTTAACCCTGTTTTAGTCACAGACCTGCACCACTTTTTAGTCCTGTTTTAGTCACACACCTGCACCACTTAACCCTGTTTTAGTCACAGACCCGCACCACTTTACCCTGTTTTAGTCACAGACCCGCACCACTTTACCCTGTTTTAGTCACAGACCCGCACCACTTTACCCTCTTTTAGTCACAGACCCGCACCACTTTACCCTGTTTTAGTCACAGACCCGCACCACTTAACCCTGTTTTAGTCACAGACCCGCACCACTTTACCCTGTTTTAGTCACAGACCCGCACCACTTAACCCTGTTTTAGTCACAGACCCGCACCACTTAACCCTGTTTTAGTCACAGACCAGCACCACTTTACCCTGTTTTTAGTCACAGACCCGCACCACTTAACCCTGTTTTAGTCACAGACCTGGGCCACTTCGCACCTTTTTCTAGTCACAGACCCGCAATTCTTTACCCTGTTTTAGTCAAAGACTAGCACCACTTAGCCCGTTTTAGTCACAGACCTGCGCCACTTAGCCCTGTTTTAGTCACAGACCCGCACCACCTAACCCTGTCTTAG